AACAACCCACAGAGCGCTGGAACGACGTCTTCTGAAGTACAACCGACGCACTCAACACCTCGTCGGACTTTCAGATATGAGATCAATGTCCCGTCTTCGCGACCCAGGAATACGTCTCTAAGGCAAAGCATCGATGGGCTGGTCATATAATGAGAAGGACAGACGACAGATGGACATATGAACTCAGGAGTGGATTCCTCGCGAGGCAAAACGCCCTCGAGAGGGAGGCCCGACCAGATGGGCTAACGTGTTCGTTGCACGGATGAACCAGCTGAATTCTCAGCTGGTAACGAGTAATGGGCCTGGGTTTCGCGAACGTCGCCGCCGCACTTCAATACCAACATCGTGGATGACGCTAGCGAGAGACAGGAACGGATGGAAACATGTGCTGTGGCCTGCACGACAAGTGAAGGCCATCTAAATATCTAAGTAAGTATCTGGAGTGATGATGCTGGCTACAAGATTGCGATCCTTGGTAGGTTACAAAAATAGCTTCTCTGCTTGCGCTGCTTGGTCCTAATTGCTCCAAAAGCCTACTGCTTTTACCTATAATCTGAGGAGGGGTAATGTTGGTTATATTGACTCAGTTCGATCAAAAAGGTGTTCTGAAATAGGCAGCTTGTTAAGTACACTGTTCCTTTGGGAACTGGTAGATAAACGCATAAAAGGGTGTTTAGATACAATTTGAAAAGAAAGTCAGAATTAAGAAGATAAAATTCAGACATACCATTTGGCTTGAAGAACTTATACTTCTCATGCGTGGGATATACACCACCACAAATTTTCACTTTTGCCTTTCGGCTGTACTATGAGGCAATTTTTTTTTTAAAAGCGAGCTAGCATCAGTTAAAAATAAGTGAATATTCTTAGGCTTTACAGCATGGCAGCTCAAAAAGACAGTTGTATCCGTAAGGAATGCAGAGCGAGATTCAATGAATGCATTGCCAACGCTTTTTTGCTTGATTTTTTCTAAAGTTGAGATAACTCGTATCAGTTTATTAAGGTACAATAACGAACGAAAATGCAGCAGCATATCAAAAGATGTATGGCAAGAATGAGGAGTCAAAGCACCTTACAGTCATGATCCGTAAACTCGTAAACTACTCGAAAATGCAATCACATAAACAAGGACACCATTTGATGAAGCCTATACGTATGTACATCGGTCGAAAGGCAAAAAAGGCATGAAACGAGCTGTAGAGAAACATTTTCTTAGTGCAATCAGATTGTGTAGCCGTGCATACGTGCTGACTCGCGAAGCTCTGAAATCGTTTTTTTAAGGAATCTCTTAGAGTCAAATACAATTTGGAGTATTTATTAAAGAAATTATATGCAAGTAATTTTTAATAAGAAATGTTTGAGAAATCTGCTAGCATGAATATATTGTGTCTCAAACGGGATTATCATTTTTTTCCCAGTTTTTCAAACCTAGACACAAAGACGTCAATACTTAGTAGTAACGTTAATGTATGGGAAAAAAACAAAAGCAAAAGAGGTCAGAGCCGTAATTTTAGAGGACACCGTGAAGAGGAAAATGAAGCACTAGGCTCAATTCTCAGTGCCTTTCTTCGTTCCGAAAAGGTTTGGGTAAATGCTTGGTCTTACTCTATTGGTTTATAAAAACTTCCCCTTGAAGCTTTGCCTTTATTTGGAAAATGATATTTCATAATAGAATGGAAACCTGTTGCCAACATACTAATTATCGCATGATGTATCTTCTTGCGCGCCCCTATCGTTGATACACCGATATCTTTAAGGTTCTGCTCGTCCAGCAAAAGAAAAGCATGCATATCTATCTGAAAACAAACTATGATGCTCTAATACACCCTGCCTGGAAAATCTTTCTCTTTCACCTGATGATTTAAAAAAAAAAATTAAGCTCATTGCTATGTTTCAACAAACAATATTCACTTTCTGCAAAACAAGCTTGTAATAACAGCTCTTACAATCTAAAACTTTCAATTAAATGGTATACAGCCAATTTGCGTATGAGGTATGTATTTAGTCGAGGTAGCACTTTTGGAGGAATTCTCTACACACATTTTATGTGATATCAATCACTAAGGTTGAAGTGGAGCCAGGCTGCTAACACACATCGAGCACGCGCTAAATGTAAGGTACCTCTTGTTCTCTCAATTGCGTCATGTACTCGCTGCATCCAAGCTGTGCAAGGACCATCGCCGGATCTACGAACACTTGAATGTCCCAAGTAAATTCCGAAACAATAGGTGAGGAGTCAAATATTGAAGTAGAAGCGGAAAATGCTGAAAGAAGTATGCATTTAAAGTTCACGTACAATTTAGTCAGGCCTAGATATTGAAGCATTGATTGAAAACTATTTGAGCATGTTTTGAAAAGGCCACATTTTCATACGTGTTTTGCCTAGTACTTAGACCACTTTTAGCCTCTCCCTTG